CTTGTTAAAAATGTGCGTTCCTGGGCCACACCAGACACTCTGCAAGTCTCCCTGGGGGTTCTCATGCACAAATTTAAGAACCATCAAGTTTGGGTTTTCCTAAAGCAGCATTATACAAACTCTAGTTGTCATCACTTATTCATAAAATTGGCATTCAATTTCTCCTCCATTGGGAATGGAAGAAAATAGCACTGCTGTTTTTAACAAGTTATGGAGATGTGATGAAAAGCCAGAGAGAGACACCATCGAAATTCAAAAAGTCAGAGGTGCCATTACAGCATAGAGGCACTAGAGGGCACCATAGTCAACTGCCAGGACTAAGGCAGAGCCAACTCTCTTCGAAGACCTGGGGTTGAAAGATGCTAGTTGAGATCCATTGCGTGGGCTCTGTGAACACACACACACACACACACACACACACACACACACACACACACACTGGCACTGTCCAAGGGCAAGGGGAGGGTCCTTGTCAGGTTCTTCTGTCTTCAGCATGTTGAAACAGCGCTCTACAAATATTAGTGCTGTCGTTCTAATTGGGGCTTCTTTGTTGTTGACTGCCTGATCGTGGGGAAGGTTCCACACCCTCTGACCTCAGGGTGTCCGGTGGAACTTGGAAGGGTCAGGCTGAGTGATCCCTAAGCTCTTCCAGAAGCCAGTGGTTAGTAAAAGTGTTGCTTTGTCCCATCTGTGTTGCTATCCGTCACTCCTGCCAGCTTCAGTTCTCCCATGAGGTCCTGTCATGGCAGGGCCGTGTGTGGCTCACCCCCGAGGCCCCAGGCTCTGCGTGAAACAGAGGGGGCCCTCGACAAATGCTCCAAGAAGGCAGTTTAGGGCCTACTGACATGGTCCCTTCCCCCACTGATTCTACAGGGACCCCTGGGTCCTATCATTTTACCACTTTGCGCCTCCTTTTCTCACCTATGTGGGGGTATGAACCTCAGTCCACAAACTCAGTTTGCCGGAAATGCCATTTTGTTTTTCTGTCATTGAACGTAATTTCTAATTTAAACTCCTATTCTGCCAGATGGCTGAGATTACGTCAAACGGAGTGAGGGTCCCTTTGCCCTTTGTTGGTGGGGTGGCATCTCAGGTCCAGCAGACTTACATAGTGCCGAGGCACTGCGAAGGGGCACCCTGGTCTCCACTGACGTCACTCTGTGCCCACTTGCGTGGCTGAAGACCCAACATCATCAGTCATTACCATGTAATCGTTGGTATCTGAAAGGCCCAGCGGCCTAAACAAGATGAATGACACTTTCCTCCCTCTCTTATAAAAGAATCTGGGGTAGACAGTCCTAGGTTAGTAAGACCATGCCACAGTGTCTCTCTGTTAGGTCCCTCTGCCACTTGCATCTGCCATGGTTCCAGCGACCTAGTCATCAAACTCACAGGAGTAAGGAAGAAAGAGAGAATAGCTCGGCCCTTCCTTTGAAGCGCATTCCCTGAGTGTGGCACGTGACACTCCCACTTAAAGCCCATTGGACAGAACTTAGAAATGTGACCACATGAAACAGCAAAGGAGCCTGGGAAATGTTGTCTTTGTTCTTGGAAGTTAGGAACGCTGCTAAAATTTGGAGTTCCATTACTGAGAAGGAGGGGGAGAATGGATATGGGGGACTATTAGCATAGTGCTCAGGGGCTCAGGTCTCCAATGCTCTAAGAATTTCTGTCACCTTCCCCTGCCCAAGACCTCAGCTTGAGGATGGGCAAGAGCTTGGCCGGGGGTGGTGGGGTTGCGGGGGGTGGGGGGGAGAAGAAGCAGAAAATATGTAGTCCTTTCCCCTTCCTCCAACCCCCAGGATACAATAGAGGCTAAACCCTTTTCTTCTTTAAATATATTTTTATTGTGAAGTATTTCAAACTGACAGTCAAGAATATTTGCTTCAGATTTTTAAGAAATTAAATATTACAGACACAAGTGAGGTCCCCAGCCTTCTGCCCCAATCCCTTTTCCGACTTACCACCTCAGAGCTGTTACATCCTGAATTCAGTGTTTATCAGTCCTTTATATGTCTTTTATTCTTTTTTTTATGTCTTTTACTCTGAATATGAATTTATGTGTCATAAATGTTATGGAGTATTGTTTTGCAGGTTTTTGAACTTAATATAAATGGCTCCTTATTGTATGATTCATTGTGCAACTTGCTGTTTTGCTCTCAGCTCTGTCTTTGAGATGTAGCCACGATGACAACTGTAACTCTACGTCCATCATTCATCGTGGCTGGGTCATATATGTGGTTTATGTCTGTGTTGTATGGCAATACCACAGTGTGTTTACCTATTCCTTTAATAGGTGATTAGGTTTTTGCAATTACTTGCAAAATAATGCTGCAATAAACATCTTTGTACGTGTCTCTTTGTACACATACATAAGAGTTTCTCTAAGCCAGTGGGTTTGAGAGTGTGGTCCCTGGACCAGCAGTATCAGCACCACCTGGGAACACGCTAGAAATGCAAACTCTCAGGCCCCATCTCAGATCTATGGGATCAGACACTCCGGGGTGAAACCCAGTGATCTGCATTGTAATAAGCCCTCTAGGAGGGGCTGTTGCCCCCTGGCATTTGAGAACCACTGCTATAGGGTTTATACCAGAAGCAAGATTGCTGTGTTTAGAAAAGGTACATCTTTACGCCTTAAACTAATATAATGTTATATGTCGGTTATGATTCAATAAAACGGGAAAATATTAATAAACGGATACATAGATGGATGAATAAATAAAAGAAAATTTTAGAAAGAAAAGGCAGATCTTCAGATTTACTAGATGATGCTAGATTTTTCTCCAAAGTTTACACTCCTATCAGAAGGGAAAATTTCCTCTCATCCTTGTCAGCCCTTGGTATCATCAGAATTTAAATTTTTGGCCATTTGGGTGGGAGGTCTGGGCTTTGTTCCCTTCTCAGTTGATGTCCTCTGTCTGGCCGTGGGAATCCCTCTTACGACATCACACTTTCTCTCCACCAGGTCTACAGCTTTGGGAACACACAAACCTTTACTCTGCTTCCTGTGGCAGTTTCTCTTCCCAGGGGCATCACTTCCTGTGTGCCTCTATATGAGCCTGCTGGATCAGGCACGGGGCTCAGTTGAAAGCAACAGCCATGGGAGTTACCAGCAGGATGTGCGGGGCTCACAGAGTCCAATGAGTTGAGAGCAGGTTTGGGGAACTGGCAATACTCGTCCCAGAGCAGGGAGGCGGCAGGGGAAGAAGAAAGGTCCCAGGCTGTTCCGGGCAGAGTCAGGCGGGCCTGCTCTGTGAGCCTCACGCCCCATCTATCTCCTCGCTCTTTGTGTCTCAATCCCAGGACTTGGGGTCATGGAAGTGAGTGTCTTATGGGCCAGGTTTGGGTCAATGCCCACACACTGCTGACCTGAAGAAGGCTGGGCCTTCTCAGTTTCTGTTTCGGGGGCAGGCGCCAAGATCTGCCCTTGCCCAGGACCTCACACAATGGGGAATTCCTCTAAAAGGAAAATGGGGCATCGGTAGGAAGAAGGCAGGGGCAGCGGGGGCTGGTAGCTGGAGAGTCAAGAACGGGTGAGCTGGGTGGCCGTGGGCTCAAGTAAGACAAGGTGTGTGACTGGCTTATTAGCAGTCTGACCTTGATGGGTCATGAAACATGAAACAGTTGAATGTTTCCCCAGTTGTTGACTCTAAGAAGCTTCCCAGCTCTTTCCTGACCCTAATGCTACCTGGTCACTTTCTGACTCTCCCCGGCTCCTACCCACGATGGTTTACCCTGTTGCCTCTTGCTGGGGCACCTGCCAACCACTAGTCTTCCTGGGCAAGGCAGCAGCAACAGTGCTTAAGCCTGGCTGCTTCTAGGGGGCCCTTGCCCCTGAGAGCCTCCTGATGCTTGCCATGAAGGGCTTGCAGGTTCTACCACTGCTGCCCCCCTGCCACTCCCTCCCCACCTTGGCTTTGCCCTCTTTCTCCTGGTCTCTTTTCTCTGCTCAGAGGAAAGGAGCAGATCTGCAGGGCTACAACACAAGTTAATGTCCAACCAGAACATGAGATGCTGGTTACCCCTTCTTGCAGGCACCTCTGTCTCTGTGAGGACTAGCCTTGAATCTGCCCTTACTTGCTTTTGGGGGTGGAAACAGAGAAAGCCACAGCAACCCCCTCTCCCTGAGGCTGACAACTCCAAACTCCCATGAGTCCGTCTCTCTAAGTAGTCAGCTTTATCCAGTGATGTTTGGGTTGGCAGAGACTCCCTATGAGCCTGGGAGAGGCTCTCTTTAGATTCTAGGGTATTTTCCTCCTCTTTCTTCCCAGCTTTGGGGTCCCGGTTGCCAATTCTGGAGCAACAAAAAAATTCCTTCACTCAACTTGCTATAGCTGATGATATTGAGAACCCTTGATGGTGGTGACAGTGAGGAAGGGAGTATTGTTCAAAAACCAAGCAGGAAGATGATGGCTCCCCCACTCCCACCCATTACATGCACATGCACCTCACACACTAAAAAAATACACACTATTTTAGTAAATATTAAGTTTGTAAGTGTCAGTGAACTCCAAATAACAGTGGTTTAAACAAAATAGATGTAGATTTCTCTCTCATGTAACAGCCCACACAGGCAGTCCAGGGCTAGTACAGCAGTTCTAGCTTCCTTAGGGACCCAGGCTCTTTTTATTTTATCTTATTTCTCCACTACCCTAAACACACAGTTTCTACCTCATGATACAAAAAAGCTGCTTATGCTCCAGCCATCATGTTCACATTCCACCCAACAGGAAGGATGAGGGAATGGCAAAGGGCACACACCTGCCCTTTAAGGCAACTTTCTAGAGGTTGTACACAATGCTTTACCTTATACCCCTTGGCCAGATTTTGGTCACATGACCATAGCTAATTACAAGGAAAGCTGGGAAATGTAGTCATTTGTTTGGTGGCCATGTACTCAGTTAATATCCCAATGAGACAGTCTGACCTGCTCACACATATGGTTTGACCATCTCTCTCTCCCTTTCCTCCATCCTCCACCCTGGTCTGGCTGGCAGTGGGCACTGGTCTGGGGAGCAACTGCACAGGCTGTGTCATCTGCTCAGAGGAAAATGGCTGCTCCACCTGCCAGCAGAAGCTCTTCCTGTTCATCCGCCGAGAAGGTATCCGTCAGTACGGCAAGTGTGTGCATGACTGTCCCCCCGGCTATTTCGGCGTCCGCGGCCAGGAGGTCAACAGGTGCAAAAGTACGTAGCTCCTCCCTTGTCCTGTGCTAGTGTTGGGCTCCTGGGCACCTCTGACCCACATCCCACCTCTTACCCCAACACAGTCACAGGGAAAATAAGTGTATGCCTAAACCCAGACTCAGATTCTTGCCTGGTTTCAGGCTGGCTCTGAAGTTCTAGGCAAGTCAGTGCCTTCTCTAGTGTCAGCAAGGAACCTTCATGTCTTCCCTAGTTTGCTGTGTGGCCTTGGGCATGTTACTCACCCTCTCTGAGCCTAGCTTCAACAGGAAAAGGAGTCCTAACTCCTAACACTAATTTTTGTTGTAACCTGGGACAAATTATGGCTGTCTTTGAGCCTTGATGGAAATGGAGCAGGGAGCCCTCATTCCCAGCCCACATCTGCTGTGTGACTTTAGGCAAGTCGCTTGCCCTTTCTGAGCCTCAGCTCAAATGAGAAAGGGATTTCTTGAGCTTTAAATCCATACAACCATGTTACCTTGGGCATATCACCTGCCTCCACTGAGCCTCAGTTCAAATGAGAAAGGGAGTTCTTGAATGCAGCCTAGTTTGACCTTGGACAAGTTTGGGCTGCAAAGGAGACACTAAATCCTGACCTCAGTGCTACAGAACTTGGGGCTGCTCAGAGGCCCTCCCACCTCAGGCAATCCCAGAGGGCCCCTCCCTGGGCACCTGCCCTCACTGGGGGTGGCCCTGGCTCTATTACAGAATGTGGGGCTACGTGTGAGAGCTGCTTCAGCCAGGACTTCTGCATCCAGTGCAAGAGGCGGTTTTACCTGTACAAGGGAAAGTGTCTGCCCACCTGTCCACTGGGCACTGCAGCCCAGCAGAGCACACAGGAGTGCCAGGGTGAGTGAGGGCCTCCTCGCCCTGCCCCCTCCTCCTCCCTCCCAGGAATAGGGGCTGGTGAGAGGTGTCAGGAGGCCTGGAAGAAATCACAGTACAATGTCATGTGGTGATCGGAGGCTTAACATCACCATATCAGGTACACATAAGAATCTTTCAATAGGCTAGAACCATTGTAAGCACCATTAGTGACCTTGAGCAAGTTATTGGAGTTCTCTGTCCCTCAGTTTCTCCAAACGTTAAAAAAAAAAATCACCATAGAATAGAGAACCTACTTCATGGGGGAGGGTTGTGATGAGGATTAAATTCATTAATACGATTTAAAGTACCTAACACAGTGACTAGCACACAGCACGTGCTCAATACATGCCTTATTATTCATGTCATATCAGTTGTCACTATGATTCCATGTCATCTCAGCTATCTCTATGCTTTCTCACTGCTCCTTTTCAGACTCCTGTGTGAGCTCCTCTTCTGTGATCTGTACTCATGTGAGGCTGTCCCTCAGTGTTCTCACCTGAATTGCGAATCTCTGCCCTCGCATTCTCTCTGAGCTCATGTTCATGGTCACTCCGAAAGCTGAGGGCTGCTGACTCACTGTCCTTGGCCACATCCCCACATGCCCTCTGGAGGCCTCCTTCCTTCCCTCCCCATCCCATGGTTCGTCTGTCAATAACCAGCTCCACGACCCACGCTGGCCCTGCGGGAGACATGGGCGTCCCTGGGGACGCTTCTCTCTCACCCTACATCTAATCCAATCTGCTCATTCATTCACCAAGAAGTATTCGCTGGAATGTCTGCTATGTGCCAGGCACTTTCTGAGGTGCTGAGGACATATTAGTGAACAAAACAGTCAAAGCTTCGGCCCTTGTGGACGTGACATTTTACTGGGGAGACAGAAGAGACACAGGAAAAAATACAAATGTCAGGTGACAAAAAGAACTTTGGGGGAAAAAATGAAGCAGAATGAAGCTCCCAAACTCGTCCCACCTCTGCCCCCTTCCCCCACCTTCTCCCCACTGCACCCCTATACATCCCTCCCCCCACACACACTGCCCATCACTGGAATCATGGCCACAGCCTCCTGCCTATCTACCTGCCTCAGATCTCACACCCTCCAACCCATGCTGGATCTGATCCCAGCAGCCAGAGTGATTATTTCAAAATGACAATCTGCTCAGGTTTATCTTCTGCTCAAGGCTCCCCCACCCCCCACCTGTAGGCAATCTGGTCCCCATAGGCCAACCTTCCCATCCATCATTTTTTCCCTCACTGTTTGAGTTCATACTCCAACATCCCCAGGTCTAGACCAGTGTCAAGGCCAAGTCCTCCTGAGGACCTTGCTGGGGTTATGCCCTCACCTGGAGCACTTCTCCCTCCTGCCCTTCCCTGAGCCTGGCTAACCTCTCCACCCCCACTTCAAGACTCGGGTCAGGAGTGTCCTCCTCCCGGAAGCCTTCCCAGCCCCCTGGGCTGGGACCCGCACCTCCTCTGGGCTCCCACAGCTGCCTGTGCTTCCTCCATGACTGCACAAGCACCCTTGCCCTTCCAGCCTGACTTCTCCAGATGGTAAACTCCAGGAGGCAGACCTAGGTCTGTCTTGTTCCTGCTGCACCTCAGCACCCAGTACCGTACCTGGCATGCAGTAGGTGTTCAGCCTTTGCCTGTGGAATGAATGTACCTAGCAGAAGGACCACTGCCCTAAGGTCTGAAGACCTGGTTCCTGGACGCAACTGGGTCTTAAATCTGCTATGTTCTGTCGTGTGAGCCTTTTCTCTTTTCCCTTATCAAGCCCCACGTTAAACCTCAGTGTCCTAACCTGCAAAATGGGAGTGTTAATAGCTGCCCCATTCTCTGCCTACCTCTCAGGGACTCTTAAAAGCATCAAACGGGAAAGAATATGTTTACATATATTTTTAAATGACTCCCTAGTAAGAACTTGTATGTCCATGACCTCATTCTTTCTCGCAACAGCATTGGGTAGCTTCTGCTTTCTACAGCTGATCAAAGATACCTGACCAAGTTCAAAACCTGTGTCCTGGCCCTGAGGGCTATTCAGCCAACCTTTTGCCTTGTCTCCTGTCCCTCCCCTCCCAGACCTTCCGCCCTGCCCCCATTCTAGCTGCTCTGTCCCTCAAACTTGGTGTGCTAGGCCCCCGGGCTATGCCTGCCTGCCTGGAATGTGTTTCCTTCCATCTCCACCCATTCTCTCTCCCATTAGCTCCTGTGTCACCTCCTCTGGGAAGCCTTCCTTGTTTAAAGCCAGATACTCGGTCCCTCTGGCTTCTGGCCCACAGCAGCCTATGCATGCTGTAGAATAGTCCTCATCCTAGGCTCTCATAAGTAGCACCCACTCTGCTCCTTATAAAGCCTGTGAGTCCCTTGCATGTAGAGATAGGGTCTTCAAGAAGCTGAACCCCTCAGACCGTGCCCTTGGATCTGAAGGACACTCCCTGCCAACTGAGCCCATCTGTCACCTGTCTGTCTCTCCCTCCACCCCACAGAGGAGTGTGAGCTGGGCCCCTGGGGCAGCTGGAGCCCCTGCACATATAACGGGAAGACCTGCGGCTTGGCCTGGGGCCTGGAGACTCGGGTACGAGAGGCCGGCCGGGCTGGGCAGGAGGAAGGAGCAACCTGCCAGGTGCTGTCTGAGTCAAGGAAATGTCCCATCCAGAGGCCCTGCCCAGGAGGTAAGCACCAGGCCAGGCATGCAGGGCTACTGTGGGCAGGGCCCATGGGTTACTCTGAGTGGCCTTGGGACACTGGCCCCACAAAGAGAACATGTAAGGCTGCCTGAAAGTCCACCATGAGCAATGCCTTCATGTGGGTTAAGCGCTGCCCTCCCTGGTGTCCTTTCAAAGGAGGGGCTTCCTTGCTGGGGTCAGTCCCAGATCGTTAGGAACATCAAGCTCGTCCTTTACATCAGGGGTTCTCGACACTTTCAATCACAATGAATGCCCTCTTTACTTCTCTGAAATAAAGTTCATGCATAATGTAACCTACTTGCACAGGTCATTTTTTAGAACTCAGCATAGTGCCCTAACCATAATATAAAAGAGAAGCAAAAGAAACTTCATTATGGCAGTGCTCAGGCCCAACACACCAGAGACTGCTCAGTGAAGTAGAAAAACGGTGAAAGTGATGGCTGAGGTCAGGGTTCAAGTGCACAGCCACATTACCATTAGAGATGCAATTTCTCTAATGGTGACCCGCTCTTACTAATGTCAACAAAACTTCCTGACCTCTTGATCGACACCACACTGGCAGCTGTAGACTAGTCAGTGAATGGGACAAGTGTTCAAATATCATTGGCATTCACAGGCAAGAGGGCGTTTGGCTCCGAGCAAGCAGATCTCTTAGCTATGTGAGAACTGGATGGAATGGGGACAACTCTTCTCTGTGAGGGACTGTCCCACACAGCACCCCTGATCCCTGTCCCCTGAATGCCACTGAGATCCCCCTTCTTTGTGACAACCAAGATCACCACGCAAATTTCCAAACTACCCCTAGGGGCTCTTAAGAACTGCTGGTGTAAAATAGAGAGGTCTCAGAGTGTGGTAGGTAAGATATGAATGGTGAGTCGTAGTTCGCTAATATGGAATTAGCTACTGTTAACTGTGCACCTACTATGTCCCGGGCACTGTGCTAATTCGCTCCACTCATTAAGTCATTGAATCTGCACAAAGACACTATGAGGTAGGTGTTGTTATTATTCTCCTTTTACAGATAAGGCCATTGAGGCCCCGAGAGGTAAAGTCACTTGCCCAAGGCTCACACAGCTAGGGAAGTGTGAACCTGGAATTCACATGCAGGTCTATGAGCAAAAAGGAATCTAAAGTCGTGCTTAAGGACGAGGAACCTGGAGCCAGGTGACCCGAGGCACGCAGTTGGGATATGGTGGAGCTGGGACTTGAACCCAGGGACACCTCTGGTTTCAGAAGGACTTGTGGTGTGTGAGTTGGGAATATTAATGACAGAGATGGGGGACTCTGGGAGTCATGGTGGGCGGTTGGGGACAGAGGGTGAGATTGAGATGGGTCCAGAGACACTAGGAGAGCCCAGACCCAGGGAAGAGCCCAGACAGACAGTTCTCTACAGCACTTGTTACTGTGGCCACACCTCTCATGGCATCTGAGAGCTGGGGGCTGATTGGCTGTGGAGGGCTCGAGGGAATAAAGCTCTTCCCCCAGATAATAATATAATAGCAAAAACAGTAGCAGCAGCAGCAGCAGCACACATTCATAAAGCACTTACCATGTGCTGGGCACTGTGTTAAGTGCTTAGTAATCGCAACTCCTTTAATTCTCACAACAGCCCTACTGTGGGCTCCTTGCATCATCCAGGTCTCAGCTCAAATGTCTCCTCCTGAGAGAGGCCTTCCGTAAGCTTCCCTCTACCAAGAGTCACTTTCCATCACATCACATCATAGCACTTACACCTTCCTGCAACAATGGTGCTCATTCTTGTGTTTGCTTGTTCAGTGTCCATGATCTCCAGTGAGAGCAAGCTCTTTGTCTGCCTTCTTCATGGCTGCCTCTCTAGTGCCTAGAATGGGCCCTGGCACACAGTAGGTGCTCAGTTAACATTTCTAGGCTATATGGATAGGTGGGTGGCTGGAAGGGTGGGTAGGTCGGTGGACAGATGGGTGAGTGGATGGACAGACATCAGGCCAGCGTAGGGAAGGGATGGGAACCCAAAGCTACTCACTCCATACTGCTGGCAAGGTCCACTCAGGCAGATCCTCACCCTGTCCCTCAGATGCTATTCTCACCTGAGGGCTGACGCAGGATTGAGGGGCCTCCCGGGGCCCATCTGGCCTCACAAACAACACCCTGTGCTCTTGCTGCAGAGAGAAACCCCAGCCAGAAGAAGGGCCGGAGAGACCGGCGCCCGCGCAAGGACAGAAAGCTGGACCGAAAGCTGGACATGAGGCCCAGCAGGCCACAGGCCTGAGGAGCCCGGGGCGGGCCTGCAGCCATGACCACCCTCTCCCAAGCCGATTTGCTTCCTTCCTCGTCCCTTCGCATTCTTGCTGCCGCTGCTGCTTTTTTTTCCCTTTTACCTTTCTCCCCCACTTCTCTCTTTTTTCTGTGTCAATCTACCTTTTGTTCTCCTTTATTTTCTGTATTTCTTCCGTCTCCATTTCCCTTTTGTTCCTCCTTTTCTCCTCTCCTCCTTCCCTCTTCCTTTTTCTTGTTTTTCACTTTCCTTTTATCTGTCTTCCTTTCTTTTCCTTTCCTCCTATTTTTTCCCTGTTCTTCATTGTATCCTTCTCTCTCAATCTCTCTCTCTCTCTCTCTCTCTCTCACACACACACACACACACACACACACACACTTTTGAAAGACCGCATGCCTGTGCCCTGCCCCGCAGCCACTCTTTCTATCTATGCAGCAAACATCTTTTTCTCAGCCTTTCCCTGACACTGTCCTGACCCCACCTTTGCAGAGAAGGGGTGTGGGGCCCAGGCCACAGCACAGGCAGGATCATTGAATCCTGAGAGCCCTGCTTCTGCGCCAGAGGAGACCCAGGCCTCAGGGCTAACAGCACCACCTGCTCTGGCCTATCCCCGGAGGCCGTTTCCACAGTCCTCGGCCACCAGCTCCCCTAGGAAGCCTCTGGAAGAGGCTCTGGGGCCTCCCAATGCCTAGCAGGCCATGGAGGAGCCATGATGGGGCCTCTGGCTGGACAGTCAGCCCTGTGCCCACCTGTGGCAGCTGAGTCTGCCCCCTTGGGAATCTGCCTGCTGTACCCCATCAGTGTTCCCTCAGCACCCTCCCTCTTCCCAAGCTGACTGTACCCCCATGTCCTTTGGGGACCCAAATGCTGCATCAAGTGGGGCTGCCTTCCCTAGGAGAACTGTCTCAGCCCAGGAGAGGCCATCAGAGCTGAAAGGAACTTGGAGATAACACAGACCACTCTGCTCCTCGGCTCCAACTTTTGTACCCATGGGGAAAACTGAGGCCTGAGAAGGAAGGGAATTGTCTGAGGTCACAGCGGGAAGCCAGTGCTGTGCCTTCCACCTGTCAGTTGCCCTGCTCCACATGTCCACAGCCGAGAGGAGACTTTGGGGGGCTTTGGGGAGGCGATGGAGGGAGTTGTTGGGTCAGGAGCAAGAGTAAGTTCCCCATGATGCACACCACCACTGACCCCCCTGAGCATTTGCATCTCGCTGTGATACCCCACATGCCAGGCAGAAAGAAGCGGGAGGGGTCTCAGGCTACACCCAGCTTAGAAGTAGGTTTGTTCTCACTGGCTGTCATTCCACCATCATGATACCTCCTTCTCCTTTGTTTCCCCAAATCCCCAGGAAGGGGTGCTCCTGAGCTGCATTGGTATTACTGGCTGGCCTGAATTTAGAGGGTTCAGCAGTTAGGAGCAAGAAGAATCTGAGACGCGAGGGGTCCAGGGTGGCTGGGGAAAGTGGTGTCAGCAGGCTGGGGCAAGCTAAAGGTGATGAAATATCACTCCTCCGCCCCAAGAGAGTGCCTAGCCTCAGGCGTCCCTCCGCCAGGCACATGGGAATCCCCTGACCCCTCAAGGCCCACCCTCACTTTCACTTCCCCCTCTCACCTGCCAGAGGACAGCTAGAGCCCCTCCTTGCCTGGCCAGACCACCAGCATCTATTCTGCAAATTTTGTGCCTCTGAAATGCCCTGTTGTTTCAAGACCTCAACTTTTTCTTTTTTTTTTTTTTTAATAAAGGGAAAAGGAAAAAAAAAAACTTGCAAATGCTTCTTGGGCGCCCAGCGGGTGTTACAAAACGATGATGCTGATGAGTTTGGAGTAGCCAAATCTAAACCATGTGGGTGGTTTGCACTGGAATGCTCAGGGCGGAGAGGCCAGGGTATGTCAGCCCCTCCAGGCCCCTCTCATGAAGGGGGCTCTGCCAGAGACAGAAGAGAAACAACACTATGCTCCCCCACCCACAGTGACACTCAGCCCCATGATCACAGAAGTGGCCCGGGGAACCCATCTGCGTTCTTTTTTTTTTTTTTTTTAAAGATTTTTATTGGGAAATTGGGGGGATGGGAACAGTGCTGGGGAATTGGGGAAAGGGGAACAGACAAGTTGCTGTC